CAACATGAAATGATAAGGAAAATAAGATTCAATAGCAAGATAAGTCCCAAGGAAGAGCCAGCACAGAAATAAATGCATGCCCACATCATAGTCAGAATACACACATGTCCGGCTGAGCTTTCTAGCAGGCCATGAGAGCAATTACTCAGCAGGTTTATGCCACACTGTGCAGAAATACATCAACAAGCCAGGGTGCTGAGTCCAGAGTGCTGGAGGCAGCAGCATGCCTGCTCTCTTGGGATTTGGGTTTCAGCCCTGATGAAACCCTGTGGTAACACCTTTTGTGTTTCAGTCTAGGGTGAAAGGGACACAGAAAGCTCCCTGGCACCTGGTCTACCCCCAACAGATTCCAGACCTCAGATTTGCATATCCCCATAGAAAGGCTGCCTGGAACGCTCCCAAGGAGCCCCAGGCAGTGTTCTGTTCCCAGATCACTCAGTGCAGGGAACTCATCATTGCTGCACCCAGCAGCCCTCTCTAGCCGTCACAGTCACCGTCACCGCAGAGACTGCTGCTAGGGACCCGATGCGTGTGTTCCCCTCAGCTGTGAGGCACAGGGCCTGCGGCTTCCTTCGCAGCTGAGACATTTTACAGCCTCTCTCCAGAGGTAGACGCTGCCGTGAGAGCTACATCCTGTTCCGAGTAAGGGGACCTTCTGTGTCGTTGAGTCATTTCTTTAGCAAACGTATGCCATAGAAACTGACCTCACAGCTTGTGTTTTTAAATGTCTTTGGATGTTCTACTCAGTTTTCCTCCCATGCCAGCTGCCTAAAAACTAAGCAAGCAGTTGATGGAGAGTGTAATTTGATAGCTAGTAGGTCCAGGCTATCATAATCTTGAGTAACATCAGCAGTCATTTATTAAGAACTTGGTATGAGTGGGTGTTGTAATTCCTGATTTAATATAGAGAGCTCAGGCCAGGGCCGCCTGGGTGTGAGCCCCAGCTGCAGCACTTCCTAAAGAACTCTGAGCTTGTTAGGCGGCCTCTGTATGTCACAGTGCTCCTAGGGTGGCTGAGGAGACCTGCAGCAAAGGCCTAGCACTGTACCCAGCACACCCTGTTTTGTTGTGACCTTTTTTTATTATAACAGTTCCTTGAAGGTGATCGTAGCTGGCACTAAAACTACTGATGTAGATTGCTCCCCTGCCCAGCCTGCGGCTCACTGGGGCCTCAGGAAGCCTCCGGAGGAGGTGCTGTTAGTATCCCCATTTCAGAAGAAGCTAAAGGAGATTAAACAAGTTGGCCCAAAGCCAGACAAATGACTTGCTCAGCCAAGTCTTAGACTCGGCCATGAGCCCCAGTCCATGCCCTTAACTGTCAGGCCATAAGAGCTTCTCGGTACACCTGATGCTGTTTTAGATCTGCTTACCTGGTATTTGGGCAAGAATTAAGGAGACAAGGGCGGATTTCTTAGAGGTAGTTTTAGCTTTAGCTCTTAAGTCTCATCTAGTTTAACCACCCAGAGACAGCTCCCATCAGTCCTTGCCTAGGTTGAGAAGTTGATTTCCAAGTTGTTCTTCAGCTTTAGGGAAGAGCAGGGGGGTCCCAGAGCAGAAGGCAGCCCTGGGAATTCAGTCACTGGCAAAGCTGGGCGTAGAAAGGAATGCTGTGGGTAGGAAAATGGTGTCTTCATGAGGGCACCATGTGCCATGAACAAAATGCAGCCAAAGCAAAGGATATTTGGTATGTGTGAATTTGACTAAAATAAATTACTTCAGATCATTTTCATTTTGAATTGATAGAAATCCCAGGTTAAGTGAGTCAAAACCAAGATGAATCTACAGATCTACAAAAATCTGTATTTATGGGATAAGCTATGGGCTTTTTATAAATTGGCCAGTAATTTATAGTTTGCAGGAGGAGAAAGGTTCAAGGCGCAGGCACTCTGGCGCCTGAGGACCCTTGGGTGTCGTTTCTCCTGGCTGCGTGATCATCAGGTCTAACGCTGTGAAACGGAGATGATTGTGTGTGCCTCTCGGGTTGCTGTGGGACTCGCTGAGGTCATGGACACGTGTATGGCATGCTTGGTGCCAAAGGAGCGTGGGGAAGTGAAAGTCATCGACGACTTTTAAGGAGGAAGTCCTGGAAGCATCCTCAGGAAGCAAACTGAATAGAACTGTGCGAGCAGCAAGAAAGCGAGTGCAGCACGATGACATCAAAGCGCTAGCCTGGGAGTCGCGGAGAGGGAAAAGGGGCCCTGCCTGGCGCCCTCTGCCTGCTCTGCCTGTCCCACATTTCCCAGGCAGGTGCAGAGACTGAAAGGAAGAAAGCCTGCTGAGGAGCCCAGCCTGAAATGTCCCCTGATGCAGCCAGACCTTAGACCCTGGCGGTCAGGGAAGGGGTGGCTCGCCTGCAGAGCGGCTCTTGGGCAGAGTGACAGCACGCGAAGCCCACCAGCCTAGGCACCGTCCTCCAAAGACACGTGTCAGGTTGGAGGGTTACTTAAGATGAAGATCTGTCTTTATAAACAGATCGCATCTGGCTTTGATTAAATTACTGCTTGTCGAAGACCTGTAGGAAATGCCAGCATGTGTCATAACTATAGGATCCTCAAAAAGATGACACACCTAAGATATTGGAGTATGTGATGTTGGCATTTGTTTATTGTGGGAAATTTGAAAAAAATAAAAGTACTCATTTGCATTTTATCTGGTATAATCTCTGTTCACATTTTAGAAATCATCTTCCAGTTTTGCTGTACCTTTAAAAATATCTTTCACAGTTGTAGACATACTATGCAAACTGTACTATAGTTTACTGTTTTCATAAAGTAGGATGTTAGAAGGAGTTTATGACATATCTTTATAGCATCACTTTTAGTTTCATGGTCTTTCTATACTGCTTAATCAGTCTTAGATTTAGGTTCCCAAATTTTGGCTATCATAAAAAAATCGTAGTTGTCAATATCCATGAGAATTAGGCTTCAGGAAACCCCTATGTATACCAAAATTCATGAATGCTCAAGTCCTTTGTAAGATGTAAGTATTGTTATACTGTACCATGGGGCTTAATATCCAAACAAAACAGCCCAGTCTCCTCTTGGTCAGGTTTGCTTTGTAGTAGATTCTGTCCATGGCTAGTTGAAGACACGGGTGGGGAACCAAGGGACTCTGCAGTCCGGCTGCATCCTGGCTCAGCATGGCATGCAGACATCACCTCCACTCAGAGAAGTGAAGCGCAGCACCCTTGGCCCTGTGTTGCTGGCAGCTGTTGAGGTGGAGGTGACCAGAAGTGATTCAACAGGCCACCGCCTTGGCTGGCAGTCTCCAGCTTTAGAGGTGACTGCCTTTGCTGCACAGCTGAGTGGTTGGCCCACGGTTTCTCCTCCAGTGACTATGCCTGTTCCCATTGAGTGGCCACAGCCTAGCCTGCTGATTGGCACGTGCTGACACTAACGTGTGACGGAACAGACATGTGGAGAATTGTCTGCATTTCCATATTTTAATCTTTTTGAAGTTTGTTTTTTATTCCATTTAATGTTGAACCAGTGCCTTCTTGGTCTAAATATAGCATATTAGAGTGCAAAAGGTCATGTAGACTTCTGGGCAGATGTTAGCTTACGTAGTTGGGTGTGTTTTGTGCATTTGTAAAGGTTTAAGAATGTTAAGTAATGGAAAAGTGATTGGCTGTATGTTAACTCTGAGAACTGGCAGAAGTGCTAATGAAATCCCACTTCAAGACCAAGCACACCATGAAACGGAAGTGCCTCTGAACACAGAACATGGGGAAGGCGCGTGACAGGAGGAGTGAGGCCTCAGACTGGAAGGAGCAGATCACCATCAAGTTGACAAGAGCTGAAGAACAGATCGAGCCATCCGAGTTCCGCTTGGAAGCCCCACGCAGAAGCCCCGCACAGAAGCCCCTCGTGGAAGCCCCGTGCGGAAGCCCCACGCAGAAGCCCCTTGTGGAAGCCCTGCGCGGAAGCCCCGCACAGAAGCCCCACGCAGAAGCCCCTCGTGGAAGCCCCGCACAGAAGCCCCACACAGAAGCCCCACGCAGAAGCCCCACGCGGAAGCCCCACACGGAAGCCCCACGCAGAAGCCCCACACAGAAGCCCCGCGCGGCCTCTGCTGCCTGCTGCAGATCTTTCACACCTCCTCTGACCAAACATGCCCTTCAGAGGCCAAAGAAGAAGACAGTTTGTGATGCCTCTAATCTTTTCAATAACCGTTAACAAATCACAGGGGCAGTCTTTTGAATCTGATCATTGGACCTGTTAGGTGTAATCTGAAAAGAACAAGAGTGTCATTTGGATAGACAAAAGCAATATATGAATAAATGTATAAAATGCCCAACGTTTTATGGAGATCTGCCTGGGCCCACCGGGAAGCTGGGCTCCTACATTCCAGAACCTTGGGACTGGTGTCTCATGTAATCTCATAAATGTCTCAGTGGAGACACCCATCAGCACCCCCTGTCTTTCTATCCCTGTGACCCAGAAACCTAAAATGGATGTTTTTAATTTGCCAATTTCTTGAAGTTTCAGGTTTTTAAAATATTACCATATTTGAGTTCTAAATACCAAATCCTACCTGATTATAATTGATGCTGAACTATTACATAGCGGCAGCAAGAAGCGCCTTGGTAGGGGACCTCCTGTGAGGGCAGGGCCTTAGGAGGTGAGTGCTTCCTGTCCCGCCTGCTGTCTTCGAGGTAACCCTTCGAGGGGTAACCGTTTCCACGTGGCATATGAGGAAGCAGGTCCACAGTAAATAGTGACCTGCTCAGGCCTGATGGGTGCTACAGCTGCCTGGGACCCCAAGTTAGACTTCACAGTCATTTGCCTCTCAGCTGATTTGAGGGCAGACTGACTGGAAACACACCTGCCAACAGGCCAACCAAACGTGTGAACAATATGGTGGGGGAGAGCTGAACTCCTCCATCCTGGCTAGCTGGGCCCTGGGAGGCCAGCTCCAGCTGTTCCCCAGGATGTGGTTTTCCAATGTGAAGTGCACTGTTACAGACTTGCTCCCCTCCTCCTGCCCCTTTGATCTTCCAGGCCCTCAGTACCGCCTGGAGAAGCAGAGCGAGCCCAATGTCGCCGTGGACCTGGAGAGCACTTTGGAGAGCCAGAGCGCCTGGGAGTTCTGCCTGGTCCGCGAGAACAGTACGTTGGCCACCTTGCTCTGTGCCCGCCTTGTCTGTTGCAGAAATGCTCACACGCCGGGGGCTGGGGAGCACTCACTGCTCTGACCTTCCTGGGCACCTTGGAAGGCCTGTTGCCCAGGGCAGCCCAGAATGTGGCTGCCTACAGCCTGCCCCAGAGGGAAATGATTGAGTCCCTGCTTTCCGTAGAGCCTGCTTTCTGCTTAGCTCTGTGATTAGTTAAGAGAACTGTGGGAAACAGCTGAGAAATGGGAGGGCCTTTCTGAGGCAAAGGCAGTTTTGTAACAGACCAATTGACCCTGTTAATATCACTGTTCAAACCTCAAGGTTTTGGAAAATTCACCTGTTCCGGCAGGAGGCAATGAGGTGTTTCTCCACTGCTAGGTCGAGAGCTTTAAGACCTCAATTAATTTCATTTGCTCTTCTGATTTCTGAGTTGTGGACTTTTAGCATCATTCTCTCTATACTACCACTGACTTAAGACACAAATAGTGCCCAGCACAGTGGCGTAGCTGATTAAGCCTCTGCCTGCAACTCCAGAATGCCATATGGCTGCCAGTTCAAGACCTGGCTGCTCCATTCTCACCCAGATCCCTGCTAATGCACTCAGAGAAGTAGCAGAAGATGGCCCACGTGTTTCGGCCCCTGCACCCATATGAGACATCTATCTAGAAGAAACTCTAGGACTTCAGCCTGGCTGGGCCCTGGTTGATGCAGCCATTTGGAAAATGAACCAAGTGGCTAGAAGATTCTGCTCTCTCGCTATCCTGTCTCGAACTCTGCCTTTTAAATCAATAAAATTAGATTAAAAATAACCTGCCAAAAAACAAGAAACAAGTCGTGGGAGGCCTGTGGCTGGGGCAGGCTGAGCTCCATCAGTGCTGCGCCCAGGACTGTCATGCAGCCACTGCTTTTGCCTGCTGCCGCTCCCCTCCATGCCAGTGGCGCAGGACGGGCCCCAGAGCATGCGCCCCAACCTCCTGTCCCCCAGGCATCTAAACTGCTCCCTCGCTCACACGGGTCCCCATTGAACTCTCTTCTGACTAGAGTCTGTTTCCCCCACTAGATTGCCAGATCTGTGGGGGTGTCCCTGACCCATATCCTGTTGTCTGTCATTGATTCAGGAGTGAAGTATGTGTGGGTTGAGTGGCCAGAAGCTCCGGACAGGCTCCCTGCAGCTGCCCCTGCATACAGAGGCCGCAGCAGGAACATGAGGCACACACTTGGCGTTGGATTGTGTATTCTTGGGGGGCCAGGAACTAGAGCCCCCAAAGGCTATGGCCAGGTATGAGTGTCACACGTAAATTCTCAAGAAGTAAACTAAAAATCGCTGGTTCTCAAGTGGTCCAAAACATTGGGTTCCGTAGTGAACATTTACTTGCCAAGCTGTCTGTCCACTCAGTAACCTTAAAGCATCGGTGTAAGTAGCGCTGCCCTACGTGCTGGGTGTCGCTAGGAAAGGCCTCGTTAGGTGGAGAGCCTAGTGTGCTGCTTATGGTCACCATGAGTGACTTACACGTATCACTTGGAACTGAAAGTGTCTTACCCAGGTAGATTTTTCAAATAAAAAGAGAAGAGATCTAAAATGCCACAAGATTTGTACCTGGTGACAATCTTCACAGGATTATTTCTGTTATCTGACATTAGAAGGCTAGCCAGAAAATATACAGTGTATCCCTATGCATCGTCTCATATGAGATATACTACCTGATCACAACGAAATGAAGCTAAAAATAATAAGGAGAAAAACAGCTACAAGATCTATATGTGTTTAGGAATTGAGAAATAAGTATCTGGAACCTTTGATTTAAAAATAGCAAATAGAGGGGGCTAGTGTCATGGTGTAGGAAACTAGGCCTCTGTGGCGCTGGCACCCACATGGGTGCTGGTTTGTGTCCCAGCTGCTCCACTTCCAGTGTTCATGGCCTGGGGATGCAGTGGAAGACAGCTCAAGTCCCTGGGCCTCCGTGGAGACCCAAAAGAAGCTCTGGCTCCTGCCTTCAGATTGACTCAGCCTTGGCCTCTGTGGCCATTTGGGGAGTGAACCAGCAGATGGAAGAGCTCTCTTTCTGTATCCCTTTATCTCTATAACTGCCTTTCAAATAAGAAATAAAATATATATCTTAAAAATCAAAAAAGGCAGGGTGACAGAAAGAGGGAAAGGAAGAAAGCATCTCCCATCTGGTAGTTTACTCCCAAAATACCTGCAACAGCCCAGGCTAGGTCGGACAAAACTCTGTCACCTTCTCCCATGTAAGTATCAGGGACTAGCTGGCAGGACCATCTTCTGCCTTCCCAACCACCTTGGCAGGCAAGTGTATTAGCTGTGCTGGAGCCAGGATTTGAGCTGGCATGCCATGCAGGATGTAGATTTGCAAGCATCAGCTTAACTCCCTGTACCACAACACCCATCCACAAAAACAATTTGTATTTTCTAGAAAAAATGTATATAGAATACATATTAGTTGTAAGCAGAAACTCCTACTAAGAACCACACATTGTTTTGTTCTATCTAGCTGTTAAGAGGGGTTGAGATGAAAGATTTTTAAAAGGGAAGTTTCTTCCATTTTCTTGGTTGGTATGTTTGATGAGAACAGGCTTGTTATTCTTAAAGCTGTTTTAGAAATAAGTTAAATTATGTATTATCTGTTTGAAGAAAATGTGACATGGAAGCACACTGCCTCTGTCAGAATTTGTCTCTGCCACTTAACTTGCTGTGTGGCCTTGGACACAACCTCTCCTGGGATGTTTGTCAGCGCTCCTAAGCTGCGTGGGAGGATTCATCATGAAACTGTTAGAATAGTGCCTGGAGGGCCTGGCGCAATACCTAGCGGCTAAAGTCTTCACCTTGCATGCACCTGGATCTCATGGGCACCGGTTCTAATCCCAGCTGCCCTGTTTCCCATCCAGCTCCCTGCTTGTGGTCTGAGAAAGCAGTGGAGAATCGCACAAGGCCTTGGGACCCTGCACCTGAGTGGGAGATGCAGAAGAGGCTCCAGGCTCTTGGCTTCTGATCGGCACAGCTCCGGCCATTGCAGCCACTTGGGGAGTGAATCATCGGATGGAAGATCTTCCTCTCTGTCTCTTCTCTCTGTATATCAGACTTTCCAATAAGAATAAATTAATCTTTAAAAAGAACAATGCCTGGGATATGTCAAGCACTCAGTAACTGAACTATACTACCTGAGGAAGGAGCAGTGTCCTGTGGCTAACAGAGCAGGTGGGGACTGGCTGTGGACGTCTGGCATCACAGAAATGGTGGGCACCTGGAGGACGATTTAAGGAAAGAGGTGCTCCAGAACAGGGCCGATTCTGTGTCAGAACCAGAGAACTCCAAAACTTTTAGAGCTCTTTCCAGCAAGTGTTGGATGCTGCAGCATGGAAGCTCCATGAGAGGCAGGTAGATAGCATTACATCTGCCACACCAAAGGGTCTTTATTCAGGCCTACCACCATGAAGCATTGTGCTACATATTTTGCAAAGACTTACTCATGTTTGTAACTACCCTATAAGCTACTACTCTAAAGGAAGGTTATACTTGCCCAAAATCAGCCAGTCGGGTCGTGATAGAAGTACAATTTTGAGTCAGCTAATTCCAAAGCCTGCCCTGAGGGAGCAGGTGAAACCACGCATTCCCATCCTTGAGAATGGTGATGGAACACGTGTTTACAAGCTAGGAGAGAAGCTTGCAGAAGAAGCTGGTTCGACAAGAGCTTCTGCCTAGGGACTGAGCGCTAACATTTGTGCTTGGATTTTGGCCTAAATAAGAAAATGACAAGCCAAAGTCCTTGAGCTTTCCGGTCTGCTGCAGCCTCCAGGCAGCTGCCTGCCAGAAGCTGGAGACCGACCAGAAGGAAACAGGAGTGCATGATGGGAAAGATGTAGCGTTAAAGACTTCCATTCTCGTCCAAGCCTCTGGCAGCAGGCTGAGCCTCCGTGTTCCTCCCTGCCAGATGTTGCCAGTGTCCTCGGCCAGCCATTGGCTGCACATAGCCCTTCTGGATCCTCAGAAGGAGGGTGCCATCAGCTTACTCTCCGCAGCTTTAGGAGAGGAACTGCAATTTCCCTTTACTGTGAGCAAAATAGGCCTGAAATGACCATTCCAGCACTGTGTAGGTGGCGTGTTCACCTGCTTGTGGCAGCAATGGTTTAGCTCTGGCAGCTGTGATGTTGGGCAGATTCTGTCACTTCAAGCTTAATTCCCATGAAGACAGAGGTGCTTGGGTTTCTGTGAGACAACGAGAAACCAGTGTTGTGCCTTCAAGGACTTTGCAGAGCAGTGTGGTCATCCTTGTTTTGTAGGAGACGTGGTGCAGAGGGTGACAGGACTGGCTCATGTCGCATGAATGACAGTGACAGCCTGTACACCTTGGCTGGGACCCTCAGAGAGCGGAGAGAGACTAGTGAGAGCGGAGCCTGGCTACCCTCATATGCAGATATCGCTGTGGGCAGCACTACGGGTGCCCGAGCAGTGCCTTTTGCTCTCCTGTGATCTTCCCTTTGCAGGTCACAGGATGCTTACAGCTTCATCCTGTCAGTCCTTGGTTGGACTTTTTCTGTTAGCATTTATCTATTTTTATTAGATACACAGGTTTATAAAGAGAGAAGCAGAGACAGAAAGATCTTCCATCTACTGGTTTACTCCCCCCAGAGTAAACTTTGGCCACACTGGCTGGAGCCAAAGCCAGAAACCAAGAGCTTCTTCTGGGTCTCCCACGTGGATGCAGGGTCCCAAGGCTTTGAGCCGTCCTCCACTACTTTCCCAGGCCACAAGCAGGGAGCTGGATGGGAAGTGGAGCAGCCAGGATGAGCCAGCACCCGTATGGGATCCTGGCATTGCGAGTACAGGATTAGAGCTGTCATGTAGGCATGTCAGCTCCCAAGTGAGGGGAAGCTTCTTCTCATTTCCACTCCAAGACCCCCGAGAAGGACACAACAGCAGGCTGCTCTGATTACTCATGTGGAGCCACACTGCATGTGACTCAACAGTGGGCAGAGAAC